CGGCGGCCGGCGGCGGCAGGCCAGAGCCCCAGAGGTACCGCGGGCGCGGGGGAGCCGAGACACCGTGGTCGGGCCGGACGCGGGAGAAGGTGGCCTGGCGTGGGCCGGGGGGTTCGTGCGTGGGGGTTCTCGCCGCGTTTGCCGCCTGCACCCTTCTCCCAACCTGCCTCCGGGCTCCAGCTCCCGTCCCCAGTCCGCACGTCCAGCCTGCGCCGCAGACCCGCAGGACCCGCAGCCCCCGTAGCCCCCGCAGCCCCCACGCCCTCCTCTGCCGGCTGCCGGGTTGGGGCAGTGTGCGGGCCAGTGGATGTGGCAGCTCCCCACTCCTCTCGGCGGCCCAACTGATCTGCTGCCGGCAGTGTCTGGGACTCCCCCTCTTCTGGGGCTCCCGGCCTCCCTGGGCCGCCCGCCCCCCAGCCTTTGCACACTGCCCCCCAGTCTTAGCCTCACTCCGGGAGGAAACATCTGTCGCGCCCCCTGGTAGCAGAAAGGGGGTCATGACCTCCAGATGTGCTGGGAAGCGTCCAGCATCTCCTCCTGGGGCAGCCAGGCCTTCCGGATCTGTGGGGGTGGGGCCAGCCCCTCCCCCCCAGTGACACAGGCTGCGAGGAATGTCCTGGCCTCAATGGACCCTGTGTGAGCTGCTGGGTGGGGGGCAGAGCCCAAGAACAGTGCCCCCCCTCCCCCGACCCCGGCAGGCCCTGAGCCAGGGCAGCCCACAGAACGTACACCCTGGACGGCGCTCTGCCCACCGACTGCCCAGTCCACTCCGTCTCTGATGCCCCCATCACACGCTACAGACCCGGCTCCCGCGCCGGAGCTTGGCACGCGGGCCAGGACCTGCACCCACTACCGGTGCACGAGGAAACATGACCAGCTGCCCCTCTTTTCAATCTCCCTGCAGTCTTGGGAGGAAACAGTCAACCCCATTTTAGAGGTGAGACAGCAGAGGCTTGCTTGAGGCGAAACCGGAAAGGCCCCCACCCTGTGCTCTGGGCGAGCTCTGAGCCAAGGCCCTGAGCCTCAGCCGGGGTGCCTGCACTCCCAGAGGTGGTTCCCCAAGTCCCAGCTGCCACTCCACCCTGGATTTACCTGGAGGTCACCCCTCACTTTCTCAAACCACCCTCTGCACCTGCCCCCACCTCAACACATTTCCGCACTTAGCAGGTGGCTGGGGCCGCGGTGGCTCGGGCTTACATCCTGTGAGACCAGCGCCTCAACCCAACCCCCACCTGCCTCACACCCACAAGCCAGGGGCAGCAGAAACAGCATCATTTGGGCCCCGAGAGAGTCAGACCCCATCCAGACCCCCGCGGACCTGCTTTAAGCTACAGCACCCCCTTATTTGGAACTCAGTTTGGCCGTCCGTCACACGGGGTTCAGACCTCCCTGACGCATCAGTGAGACCAGGAAGGCAGAAGTGCCGCCGTCCTGACTGCAGCCCAGGGCCCCAGCGGTCCGCCCTGCCCTTCCTCAAGGCAGAGCTGCGGCAGCTGCAAGAGGGTGTGCCCGGCCTGCCCTTCAGGTGGCCACGGTGACGGGCCCATGACGGAGCTGATGAGCCCAGCACCTTCCTGAGGATGTGGGACTGGGCAGGGGGCTGGGCCTAGGGTTGGGGCCACTTCCTGTGCTGAAGGAAGTCCCTGTGCCATTCCTGCAGCTCTGCCCTGCCCCCCGAGAGTGGCTGTGCCCTGGAGGTATCGAGGTTGTGCGGGCCAGGGCTTTTGGGTGCTAGTCTCCTCGGGGACCCTGGAGGAAGAGGGAGAGGCAGGGAGGAAGGTCTCTGGGGACAGGACGTCCTCCCTTTGTCAAGTGGGCAGGACCCAGACACCAGAGGCCTCTGGGTTTCCTGTTCCTTCCGAGTCATCTGCCCAGTTGGGTCAGCCTTGGTAGGGACCCTCGCTCTGGGCCAGGACCAAAGCCAGGGTGTGAGTGGGAACTGGGGAGCCCAGCCCCTGAACTGCTCAGGTTCTAAGACCCCAGAGCCAAGGCCCCAGCGGCCCAGCCCCTGGCCCGGCCAGCCCCGAGCAGCAGGAGGGGGCTGGAAAGCTCAGCCCCTTAGACAAGGAAGTGGCCAGGAAAGCAGGAAGCGGAAGTCGCTTTCTTTGATGGTCTCAGAGGGGCCGGAAGACAGCCGGGTTGTGCAGGACCAGAGGCTGGAGGCCGGGTTCCTGTTTTCTCCCCAGCCCCTCTGAGCAGCCCCTCCTTCCTCAGGGCAGGAACGGGCCTGCCAGCTGGGCACCAAGCCCCCGTGCCCGCCAATGCAGCCCAGCCCACGGAGAGCCAGGCCCGCAGCACGCCCATGTGGGCCGGTGGCGTGGGGAGCCCCCGGCGGGGCACGGCCCCGCCCCCCACCGATGACCTCTTTGCCCGCAAACTGCGCCAGCCATCACGGCCCCCGCTGACCCCACACACCTTCGAGCCAAGGCCAGCCCGGGGCCCACTGCTACGCAGCGGCAGCGACGCGGGCGAGGCCCGGCCCCCGACGCCAGCCAGCCCTCGAGCCAGGGCCCACAGCCACGAGGAGGCTAGCCGCCTCGCGGCGGCCTCCACCCGCCTCTTCACTGACCCACTGGCACTGCTGGGGCTGCCGGCCGAGGAGCCCGCGCCCGCCTTCCCCACGGTGCCCGGGCCCCGCTGGTTCGCCCACTACGACGTGCAGAGCCTGCTCTTCGACTGGGCCGCAAGGCCGCGGGGGCCTGGGCCCCACGCAGAGCCCAGCGCCGGGACCCTCGCCCTAGCCGAAGACCAGCTTGGCAGCTCGGACCTGCTGCTCGGGGCGCCCGGCTTTGTGAGTGAGCTCGGGGGTGAGGGGGAGCTGGGCCTGGGGGGACTGGTGTCCCCGCCTGTGCCCCCCGTGCTGCCCAACGCGGCCGTGTCGGTCCTGGAGGAACCGCAGAACCGGAGCTCAGCCTACAGCTTGGAGCACGCAGACCTGGGCGCCGGCTACTACCGCAAATACTTCTACGGCAAAGGTGAGGGGGCCGCCGAGGCCCTGCCGCCTGCCAGCCGGTCCCTGCAGCGTGAGGGCCAGGCTGCTCCGGCCCCGCCAGACCCAGCCCTCCCCGCTCCCGGCCGGCCGAGCCCCGCGCCACCCACAGCCAGGCCCGCCTCTGCCTCCCTGAGTCTTCCTTCCCCTCCCAGCGGGGGTCAGATAGGCCCAGGTGAAACCTAAGGCCGGCACATCCCTACACCCTGCAGGCTTCTCACCCGCCCCGGAGGGGGAGGGCCCAGACACCCAGAGAAAAATCTGATCAGGGTGGGCGGGATCTCTCAGCCCCCTGGGTGTGCAGCACGGGTGACAGGGACCGCAGGGGGCCGACAGGGCCGAGTTTCCGGGAGCTGGCACCTGTCCGGATCTGGCTGGGTGGGGTACCTGGAGCCAGCGCGGGAGGAGCCGAGCCCGGGGCGGGGCCCCTCACGCTCGCTGGTCTCCCCAGAACACCAGAATTTCTTCGGACTGGACGAGGCGCTGGGCCCGGTGGCAGTGAGCCTGCGGCGGGAGGAGAAGGAGGGCAGTGGCGGGGCCACCCTGCACAGCTACCGGGTCATCGTGCGGACCACCCAGGTGGGCGCGATGGGTCAGCCGCGGGTCCCGCCCCACGCACGCGCCACGTGGAGCCTGACGGTCCCTGCTCCCTCGTCAGCTCCGGACCCTTCGTGGCACTGTTTCGGAGGACGCCCTGCCGCCAGGTCCTCCCCGGGGCCTGTCCCCAAAGAAGCTTCTGGAGCATGTGGCCCCTCGGCTGAGCCCCACCTGCCTGCGCCTGGGCTCAGCTTCACCAAAGGTGCCACGCACGCTGCTCACCTTGGACGAGCAAGTGGTGAGTGCCCAGCTGCCCCCCGCCCCGAGCGAGACCCGGGGAGACAGAGCCTGCCCAGCTCTCGGATGCTAGCTCTGACCTCGATCCTGGGCTGGACAGTGAGCCCAGGGAGGTGGGTTTTGGAGAGAGAGGGCATCAGAGCGCACCCACATCGCCCGGGAATGTGTCAGAAATGCAGACACCAGGCTCTTCCCGAGCAGCCGACTGAGCCGGCCAGCGCCCGCACTTTGAGACCCCCCGGTATCCACGCAGACACCGCCCTCAGCAATGCCCTGCACAGCAGAGGCCCTGCTCGGGCCCCGAGCCGTGGGTGCTCTGTCCCGGGACACGCATTTCACTGTGGAATATCTCAGGCCAGTCGGAAGCCCCTCCCCAGCCTGTGCTGGAAGCTGCCTGTCGGCCTTCATTCTCTGTCAGTCCGTCAGTCAGTCAACAAACACTCCGCACATTCTTGGTGCCAGGCCCCAGCTGGGTGCTGGGGCTGTAGCCAGACCAGGTGCGTCCCCGAGAGGTTACAGCCATGCAGCGGACAGGGACCCGCTAGCACTGTGGGTGAATGTGGAGCAGGAAAAGGCGAAAGGGGGTGTTGGGGCCCTTCCTGGCTGGGAGCGTAGCGTCATGGCGGAGGTGCAAGAGCGGGCAAAGGCTTAGAGGCTGGACGGGTCCTGTGGGCAGCTCAGTGTAGCCGGAGCAGGGCTTGGGCAAGGGTGGCAAAGCCTTGCGTGGAGGCACTGGGGAGCCAGGCAGCCCTCTGGTGAGCGTGGGCTAGTCTGGAGGCTGTTGTCACTGCTCAGAGCTGGCGGTGGTCGTGGTGCAGGGGCCAAGGTGACGGTCTAGGGGTCAAGTGGGTGAACTTGGTGACTGAAAACTGGGGTGTTGTGAGACTCCCCAGCTCCCCTCCCCCCAGGAGAGGTGCTTGAACCAGGAACCCTGGAGGAGGGCAGGTGGCAGTGCTGACTCGGGAGGTGTGGGGAGTGCCTCGGGCTGCTGGGGAACCGGGTCTGGAGCCTGGGAGAGGGTCTGGGCAGGAGGCTGAGACGGGGTGTCACCATCCCAAGGATGAAGAGGCCCAGGCACGAGAGGGTGGGCTCCCCCGGACGTCAGGTGAGGTGAAGCTCCAGTGGTCCCAACTGCCAGAGCAGGAGAGGGGTCAGACTGGGCCCCCGGTGGGCAGGCCACGAGGGAGCAGGGGAGCCGGGGAGGGAGGAGACGTGAGCAGGGACTGGATGCAGACAAGCTTAGCCCGAAGGAGCGGGCGTGGGGAGCCCGGGCTGTTTAAAGGGGTCGGGGCCTGGCCCCAGGCTGTTTAAAGGGGTCGGGCCTGGCGCGGGGCTCGACCTCGAGAGGAAGGTGCAGGAGCGGGAGCTCAGTGAGTGGCAGTGTTGTGGGGGTGCCTGGGATGGGGCGGGGAGGACGGGCTAGCCTTGAGACAAGGAGATGACAAGGTGAATATTCACTGGGGTCCAGCACACCATCTGGGGGTCCTTCCTGTGACTCCCCTTTTCTGAGGTCCTGCTCCCTTCCCACCTGTGACCCCCTCTACCCGCCCCATCGTGCATGGGGAGCTCAGCGCGAACCCCCTCCGTCGGCGAGGACGCTGGGAGCAGCCCAGCGCCCTCGCCCTTGGCTGGCCGCCCCTGGTGCCGCTGGCCGGGGCCTGAGGCCGTGCGCCTGCCTGTCCCTGCCAGCTGAGCTTCCAGCGCAAGGTGGGCATCCTGTACTGCCGGGCGAGCCAGGGCTCGGAGGAGGAGATGTACAACAACGAGGAGGCCGGACCGGCCTTCATGCAGTTCCTCACGCTGCTGGGCGACGTGGTGCGGCTCAAGGGCTTTGAGAGCTACCGGGCCCAGCTGGACATCAAAAGTGAGCCCCGGGGGACGGGCGGGCGCGGTGCGCAGCCACGGGCAGAGGGCCAGGGCCCGCTACCTGGCCCCACTTTCAGGCGTGGCGCGCACTTTGGGGGGGCTGAGGGTCAGGGTCTGGACTGCCAGTGCCCCGCGTGGCTGGGAGGGGGGCTGGGATGGCCAGGGCCGCCTGAGGGGCCAAGGGGCTGGGGGGACCACGCCTCCCCCAAACACCCCCCACCAGCTCAGCCTTCCTGGCCAGAGGCCGGGCCCTGAGGTGCGCACAGCCAGCGCCGCTGGCCTGTCTGTCCGCTCCGGGACATCGCCTCTCCTCTTAGCTGACCACTTGTCATTCTCAGCACCCCGCCCTGAGCCCCATTTCATCCTGGCGTGTGGGGCTGGAGCCAGCGGGGCAGGCGCGGAGGGGGACAGCCAAGGTGGAGGCCCTCGCCTTGTGGGCCAGGCCTTGCCTGGCTGTTCGTCTGTCGCTGGGCAGTTTTGGGCAGGGATGGGAGGGTCCAGCCACCCAGAGTCTGTGTCTTCCCTGTGCCCCCTCCCCGGCGCAGCGGACTCCACGGGCACGCACTCCCTCTACACCACATACCAGGACCACGAGATCATGTTCCACGTGTCCACGATGCTGCCTTACACCCCCAACAACCAGCAGCAGGTGCGAGGGGAGGGGAGGCGGGAGGTGCGCAGCGTGGTTCGGGGCAGGAGCCTTGGCCTGAGGCCTGCTGACGGCCGCGCCCCTCCCTCTGTGCCCCCCCAGGCCGCAGGCCCTCCCTCTG